AATGCTGCTAAAAGAATTCTGCCATTATGGAGAATTAAGGTATTGTAATATAGATCACCTCTCTGAACTAGCACGGTTGAAAATACTGTCTTTTCCAGCCATGTATTACTGTTCATCAGCTGAGGTGAATGCTCTTACTGGTCAATACAAACATGATCTTCTCCAGTGCAGTGTCAGACCAGCCTGATGCTCAGGACAACCTGACCCAACTGGTTTGTCCTGGCACTGAAATAGTTCAGGCAGTACTGTCTGGAGCCCCTCTGCAGGGAAGACAGGCATCTCCAGGAGAGGAGCAGTAACTGGTCATACCGTGACAGTTTATGGGGTTTTTGTTTGTTTTGTTTTTTTTTTCCAAAGCAAGCATGTCAGTGCGACCTAAGAAAACGTGCTGTAAGAAAAGCGGGAGAAAGGATCAGCTGGGAGACTCGCTGGTGCAGGAGGTCAGCCATTCCACTCCCAGGCTGCTCTGCCCTGCCACCACTCAGGATTTAGCTGTACAACCTCCGGGTCCCTTCACCCTGTTATAGTGTTCTAATGGCACTACTTTGTTATATATTGTTAGCTGCTAATTGTATTGTTGTTTTTTTTTAAAAAAAATATCCATAAGGAAAGATTAACTGTTGTGAATCTGAGCAACATATTGTGAATTAAAAGAAACCTCTGCTCTGGACAAAACATAGAGAACTATAGTCTTCCATGTTGCATTTGGCTGACAATGAAATTACAGAAATACCAATATCTTAGTAAATTTAAGAGCACAAATATCATTATTAGCTGCTCATTCCTATTAGAAAGAAGTTTCAAACAAGAACAGTATAGTGAAAGTAATAAAGAAACCAATTAACAGGCCAACTGTGCTTGTAGATGGAACTGAAATCCTGTTAAGAGAGACATATGAAACTAGTAGATATTTCAGACTACTTGAGCAAGGACAGCAAGATTACTGGGACTTTCCACTGTGCTTGAAGGTTGGAAGCATTTGTCTATACGTAAGTAAATGCAAGTGGCAAGTCTTTAACTCATTTCTTAACAAGCAATACATTTCCTAGTCTGCTTGATGCTTGACCCGTTACAGCTCAGTTCTTTTCCCAGAATTTCCACGCATGTCTGTGAATGCAGAACTTAGACCAAGCTGTATTGGAGACCTGACGTGGCTGTGAAGCTGCTAGCCTTAACTGGACTGGGACTTCTTTGCTCTGTTTGCCCACCGCGTGTCCTTGGCTGGAAGAACAGAAGGACCACGTGTAGGGCATTGGGATGCGAATGCAACCATGTCATCATGCAGTATGGCACTGCCACTGTCAGTAACAGGCCATAAGCTTCGTCCTGAGTGTGCAGGGCCTCAGGACTGAGGTTTGTCGTGCCTGTTCTGGCTGACCTTGACCTACCCGCAGCTTGGTGTTGTTTAGGTTACCTGTGACAGCAGTTTTTTCTAACTGACCAGGTGTCTATTGAGAATTTGTTTTACTTTTTTATCCTTGCATGTTACAACCATAGATTTTCACAGCTAACAGTAACAAGACATCATCCTTTGAAGAATGAGATATTTATGGCTGTAACATAATGATGCAGAGTAGAGAAACATATGCCTGACACGGTTATCAGTGGCCTTGAGAAGTGGAGACAAAGATGTGGTGTAGAGGAGTACAGGCATGGGGTGATAAGAGATGGGGCACAGGCCTAGCACTAGAGATTCCATAACAGTTAATCCACAGTCAGTCAAAAAAACGCAGACCTGGACCTCGATAAAACTGAACTTGAGGGTAAAATAAAGAGAACAAATGCATGGTACCTAACATTTGTTAAATGTATATAGCAAATTGGGGTGCAATGTGGACCTGCAGAGTAGTGAAGGAAGAGCAAAGCATTAGTAGCAAATGTATGAAAATGCTGCACAAGTGGATCCAAGAGCGAGGAAGAAGAAACGATGGATGCTGCTTGGGCTGGTACTCTGGGTAGCAGGAGAAGTGCCCTGGGAGGAGGCACAGATGCTGCCACTACAGGCTGCTCTGCTACAGGCTCTGCAGGGCAGCCAGGCTGATGAGGGCAGCTGAGGAGAAGCGTGGCTTAGGGGGACAGTGGGTGCCTAGGACCCCACATCCTGCCCATAGGGGATGGGAAGTGACATGGACAGCCGTCCCCTGACACCACCACACCTCAGGTGGCAGGAGGGCACCAAGGGAGGTCGTTAGACTTCAGCATTAGAAAGCCAGAATCTAGTGAAAATCTAGCAAATTCGGAGCTGCTTAAATTTTAAACGGCATCATAAACTAAAAAAAGTAAACCACACCCATCTCCCTGGCTAATTCCTGAGAATTAAACATGATAGGTGATAAAAACAAATGGAGACAAGGGAGATCATTTGTTTATTTTTTAGTTTGAGCCTATAAAAACATGTGTAAAGTAGAATATAGTGGAGAAAATGCTGTCTTGGAAAGGTGGTTTCTATAGACAACTGATGCTCATCAGAGTGCAGGGTTGATAGAACCACTGCAATTTGTCTCCAGGAAAGAAACTCCTTCTCTGCCTCTGCTAGGGAAGAAAACACATGTTCTTTGTTGATAAGATCAATGCCGAGTGCATTCCTAGTGTTTAGCATGTCTTGAAGGGGGAGGACGGTGTGAAGCATTGTTATCCTGGGAGTTGTTTTGGTTTGGAATCAGGTTCAGACAGGGATAGCTGCCCTGCAGCCACGACGGCCACTCCCTGCTGTGCCCCCTTGGCACTTGTATGGGGGCAGAGTGGGCATCCTGACAGCTGGCAAGGATGGAGCAGTGCACATCCACGTCCTGCCTGGGAGCTGCTCTGTGTCCCAGGGGCTCCTGGGAAATATGCAAGGATAGGAGGAGAGACAAAGCTGTGCACACTGACTAAAGATTCTCTGGTGCTACCTCTGCGAGCAGTGTGGGGAAAGTCCTACAGAGGAAGAAGGAGTAAGAGCAAGATGAGCTATACAGAAGATTCCCAGCTGCAGAGATGCCCCATTAACAGCAACAAAACCCCCCCAGTATACTGACAGTCATTGTGGGGTTTTTGGAGTATGTCGTTGGTGAACAAATATAAAAAAATAAGCACCTAAAATACAACTGTAGGTAACGCATCCATGGCTTGTTCTCTTATGACTCATGGTTGAAGCTCTTATTAAATATCTGAACATTTTTTTTTCAAGTACAAAATGAATGATCAGTTGGGCACTTCAGAGATTAATGTTTCTAAAGATAACAGAGTTCTTCAGTTACATGAGGCATTTATAAGATGAAAGGTATTTGATTGCTTTCTCTGTGAAGAACTGAAGTATAAGCAGCAACAAATACCAATGTATTATCCACAATTTTGCATTTACATGATGTTTATAACTCAATCCATAACACTGATGGCAATTATTTGACTAATTTTCATGCAGGACTAAGCGTCACTTATTCAATACAAAACATGTATCAGTGTGAGAATATGTATTAGTTTTCAAAATGAAGATATGCAAACACTAAGGGAAACTATCACAATTCACTCAACAATATACCCATCGCACTCAAATGCCACCAATGCTCTGCTAAACAGAAAGCAACATTGCTCTTTCATTTTACCTTGGCTTAGTTTGCAGAATTAATTTCTGAAAACTTCTTCAAGCTACCTAGAACTATCAATGATGTGAGGAAGGAAGTAATGCCTGCTGAAGCATCCACTGTGACACTGAAGAGCTGTCATATTGGGCACATGACTTCACATATTAATCAAATGAGGAACTGCCTCCTGGCAATGAAAGATTAACAATGTCTCGCTCCTCAGCTCTTTGGAAACAAAGAGAAATTTTTTAAGACACCTGATAAGGGAATGGCTTTTTTTTTTCTTTTTCTTTTTTTTTTTTTTTTTTTTTTTTTTTTTTTTTTTTTTTTTTTCAGTTTGGTACACCTTTTATCCTAAAGCAAGTGTTAGGTATGTGACAAGTCACACACTACTAGTACTGAAAACAAATTCCTACTTGCCCAGACACACCAGCAAGCATCCATGTAGTACTGTAGCTGAGTCCATTCTTCAGAATATTTGCTCCATATTCTAGAGTTATCTTTTGGAATATTCTTAATTCCACCTTATCTTCTTGCATTCACCCAGCTGCAGTCAACAAATGCCTGTAAAGCTAAGAGGTGAACAATGACTACTGGAGAAGGTACAGGGCAAGAAGTTCAACTCTAAATTGTAAAAGTAATGAGCACAGAGATAAAAGCTTCAAAGTAAGTTTTCAGGACAGCACACAAACACAGTGTCAGAGAATCCCACAACAAATCACACAGGGCAGTCTAGACAACACAGTGCTCCAGTCCCCCAAATCCTGAACTAGCAGGGTCACGGCCTAGAAGATCTATGAGGTCAGCTACATCTATCAACACTTTGATGACGTGACTGCATGTTGCGTTCATACCTATAACATGGATAGTATATATTCTATCTGATCTTGAGCCTTTGCTATCTTAGTTTCATTAACACAACAGGTTTAGCAGTACCTGGGATGGATGTACACATTAGAAAAAAAAAAAAATCACAAAACAAATGGAAAGAGATGGAAAACAGTTTAATAGTAAACACGGAATACTTTTCACTGTGATTACATCACTGGCAATAATCACCGTTACTACACTTCCAGTAGTAAAAGAGAGTCAGCTGAAGAAAGCACGTCAAACACATTTACCATATTCCTACTGTAATACTTCAAGTACAGCATAAACAAGTCTTTTGCCTATCTGCATTCTGCACAGGTAAAAGATGTTACTGACGTAACTTAAGTCAAATCCAAAATGGGAGAATTCTTTCTGTTCAATTCTAGACCATAAGAGCCAATCTTTAAACAGTAGGTCCGCTGGGATTCTTAGGAGGACTTCAGGGCTTAACTGTTGCGTAGACTGCAAGAGGAAAAAGAAGCTACTATACTGCATGTCATTCCGTCTTTTCTGTCATAAAAAGCTTGCAAGGTTAAGCAAACATTTCACGTTTTCTGTAGTTTGGTGTCAACTGTTTCCTTGTTTCTCTCTCACAGTGGCTATGAATACTTCTTTGATAGTCTCCTTATCCAAGTTCCTGCCTATAAAGAGAAATAAATTATGTAATTGTATTTCACAGTGTGTTCAAAAAATGCGTGCAAGCAGCAAACTGCAAGTCTTCTCAGTAAAGAAAATGTTTATTATACCATTGAGTGAAAATACAGCAGTATTAACATTAAGCTGCAGGTAACCAGATAACTTCAGATTTTAGAGGCAACAACAGACACCAAGCTGTACAACTAAGGGAAAGGTGGAAAGATAGAGGGGTTTTGGTAATAAAAACACTTTGCAAAGCAGAGAATAACACGTAGGAAGTAACAAACGTACAATCTCATTATTACAAGTTTTTCAGAAAAAAACCCCAGATTTAATATATTTTAATGACTATAGTTGCCATCCTTACAGTTACTGAATATTTGATCAAACATTCAAACCATTTTCATCACCATATTTATAATTATGAATTTTAAAAATAGCATTCATTATGCCAACATAATTGATGATATTCAGTACTTTCTTTTATTTCACTACGGGATTCCTCTCAGCTGGAATATAAAACTGCTGGATGTCTTGATGCACAAACCTTTGACCGAAGGTTACAATGAACATACTTGCTGCTTTTAGGCTGGTTGTTTTTCACGGGAAAAGTCACAGGACTGTATGCTGAAAGAAAAGCTTCTTGAAGTCAAATGAGGAGATACATAATTTCCTCTTACCTATTAGGACCAGTCTATTTGTTCTCTTTTCGTCTTCTTTCCAGGCTACTGCAGTCTCTTCCAGATCGTAGAGCTCATGGACACCTTGCACTATCACCTGATGAGATTTGCCTTGAATAGATACCAGTCCCTTATCAGAAAAATAACTGTTAGGACATACAAACAAACCTTTAAAAATGAAGTATGTAGGAGGGGGGAAAAAATCTTTGAAACTAAGCCAAGCAGGGAAAAATATTCCTGGTAACTCTGCCCTAGTTAGTCAAAATCGTAACATCCATTCTCACATCTCCTTATTTTTTTAAAGACTGATAATTAGACTTTGCCATACTGCCTTCTGTTCCTCATTTGGTCACAATCTAGCACGTTTGAGCAAACCCAAAATGTCATTTGCTACTATGTGACTGGGAATATATGTATGGTGTGTCTATGAAAGACTGATTGCCTATCAAAGACGATGTAAATGAGCAAAAATATTCGATTTCAGACTATTCTGATTAAGCTCTTGTGCTCAGAATTTTCACTATTCTGAAACAGAATCTTTGAATACTGGAAAAAGAACAAACATCTGTGAGGTAAAATGACTACCTACAGAATTAGAAGGGATTACTGTCAGAGTAAGCCCAATAACCTACATACCAAAAGTTATATTAAAAGAGTCTTCATGACTTCCTGTAAAACTTTATAAAATATTCTAGTAGAACACATTCTGTAAAACATGTCTCAAACACCCCTAAAGAAGCAAAAAAAAAAAAAGGTTAAAAATATTTCATGAAAAAAGGTCTGCATTTGGCATATTAATTGGAATTCTATGACTATCACTGCTAAAAGGATATGACTGCAGGTAAGATATAAACATAAAAGCAACAAACCCTGGAACCCGTTCTAGAATTACCTGGGGTTCATTAGCCTTGGTGCATTTGTCTGTGACTGAGGGCCACCACAGAGCTTACACAAGCCTCAGATTTCCAACAGAATTACTTTGACTCCAATGCTCAATACAACAAAAATGTACTTGTGCATAACCAGTACTGTTTTCACACAGCTCAAGATACATCAGTGGCTATTCTCTTCTGTCAGGAGGAAGAAGACAAGGATATTCTCATCTTGTTGCTGAAAGAGCAAGAATACAACCCTCCTTCCAATGAAATGAAAATAATTATGTTGCTACTTATGATGCACAAGTGTTCACAGAAAACAAATCAGAGTGTATTTTCTTGTATTTCTTACAGCCTATCAAATGACAGCCTTGATTCTCATTTTCTAATTATTTATTTGGCTGCTGGTATAAGGAAAATTAAAATATATCCTAACTTGTTACCTATAGTCCTCTCAAAACCACGCAACTGAGAAACATATGAAGTGGCCATGAAGATGAACACTTATGGACTGCATCTTTAAAAGTACAGTCTGACAATACTGAAAAAAAGTTTTAAGTGTAGACCATGACTAGTACTGCACTGCCATGTTATGCCAAATTCAACTTTTTCTATCCATAATGAGAATCACTGGCATATTATGACATCTATAGTTACATCCCTAGATAAGGAGACATTTATGTGAGATGGATGGAACTTTTCAAAGCAATGGAGGTGAAAGGGTTATTTAACTATGACCTGATGATTAACTCTGACACTGCTGCTTGGGACTGTACACCTTCCTCTCAATTCAAAACAAGTAGGATCAATGTCTGCTTCTCTGCCCGTTATCTCCTTTTGAGCTGTTCCACCAGCCAGCAACATAACAAACTGTCTCTACATGGAACAATGAAAAATTGCTATTCTCCATTTTGTCTGCTCTGCTACAGTGATCCAGTAGCACCTTTGATAGGTCTGTAACTGACAGCACAATGCAGTTTTAGGTGTAAAACAGGAAAAGCGCAAAACAATTTGGTCATTTCTGACTAACTTTCAGTCTTATGACATCCATGGTGCGTCCAGTCTTATCTTTCACATTCTTCTCCCATAGAAGATTCTATGAAAAGGAAAAATGTCTTCATGAACAGAATGGCCTGGGAAAATTTTCCATGACAAGTCACAATTTTTCAGTTGACAATGATGTACTACTCACCTGAATAAAGAGATTTAAGTTTTCTTCTTTTATATTTCCGGGAACCTCAAATGTTACTGTAATTATACCCTGCAAATGAAAAGACTCACTTACTATTACTAAACTGAAGAAATATTTCATTACATAGATTTCAAAAAGTGTTCTTTATAACCTGGCCTCAGGAAAAAGTAACTGTATACCCATATCAAATTTGAAAAAAAATAAATAAAAAAATCTCCATTTCTATTGAGCTCTTATTTGTTGCATCATGCTACACTTTTTGGCTCATTGGTGTCTGATGTGATGTTTTATTCCATCATCATCAGAATAATGCAGTTTAAAATTATCAATTTATTACAAAATGAAGGAAATAATGTATCTTAAATTTATTTTTGCCACTATAACCTCTCAATGGAATAGAAGAATATACAGATAATTACTTTCTGTACAACTTAACATTCTTTCAAATGCTTACTGCTTTCAGATGACTAGTCTAACTTAATGGAGAAAAACCCAGAATATAATAGAATAGACTGTTTCAGTTGCAAGGTACCTACAATGATCATCCAGCCCAACTGCCTGTCCACTTCAGGGCTGACCAAAAGCTAAAGCATGTTGTTAAGGGCATAGTCCAAATGATTCTTGAATGCTGACAGGCTTGCGGCATCCAACACCTCTCCAGGAAGTTTGTTCCAGTATTTGATCACCCTCGTGGTAAAGAAATGCTTCATAAGGTCCAGTCTGAACCTCCCCTGGTGCAGCTTTGAACCATTCCAATGCATCCTACCACTGGATGCCAGGAAGAAGTGACCAGCAACTCCTTCTCCACTTCCCCTCCTCAGGAAGCTGTAAAGAGCAATGAGGTCACCCCTCAGACTCCTATTCTCCAAACTAGACAAGCCCAAAGTCCTGAGCCACTCCTTGCAGGACATTCCTTCCAGCCCTTTCACCAGCTTTGCTGCCCTTCTCCGGACGCATTCAAGGACCTTCACATCCTTCTTAAACTGTAGGGCCCAGAACTGCACCTCATACTCCAGGTGAGGCTGCACCAACACTGAATACAGCGGGATGATTTCCACTTTTGACCAGCTGGTTGTGCTGTGTTTGATGCACCCTAAGACATGGTTTGGCCTCTGGGCTGCCAGGGCACACTCCTGGCTCACACCGAGCATGCTGTCAACAAGAACCTCTAGATCCCTTTCTGCAGGGCAGTTCTGCAGCCACTCCTCTCCCAATTTAACTTGTGCCTGACATTATTTCATCCCAGGTGCAGAATCTGGCATCTGGACTGTTAAATTTAATCCCATTGCCCAATACTCCACTCTATCCAGATCCCTCTGCAAGGCCTCTTGTCTCTCAAGAGTCAACAGCATCTCCTAGTTTGGCATCATCAGCAAACTTGCTGATGGTGTGTTCAACTCCTGCATCCAGGTTGTTGATAAATATATTGAACAGAACTGGCACTAGAATTGAACCCTGAGGAACACCACTGGTGACTGGTCGCCAGCCAGATGTAGCCCCACTCACTACAACCCTTTTAGCTTTGCCCTTCAGACAGTTCTTCACCCAGCACACCATGAACTTGCTCATCCCACAGGTGGACAACTTGTCCAGAAGGATGCTGTAAGGGCCAGTATCAAAAGCCTTACTAAAATCCAGAAAAATGACATCCACCATCTTCCTTTCATCCACTAGACTGGTGACCCTATCACAGAAGGATATCAAATTAGTAACAGGACTTTCCTTTTGCACACCCATGTTGGCTGTGCCTGATGACTGCAGTGTTCTTTAAATGCCTGTCAAAAGCAGCAGTATAATCTTCTCCATCATTTTTACAGGAACCAAGGCTAGACTAATATGTCTGTAGTTTCCCGTGTCTTCCCTTACACCCTTTTTGTACACTGGAATCACACTGGCTATCTTCCAGTCAGCAGGGACCTCCCTAGACTTGCAAGACCTTTGGTATATGATCAAGAGGGGTCCTGCCATGACATCCGCTAGCTCCTTTAGTACCCCGGGATCAATCCCATCAGGTCCCATGGATTTGTGAATATTCAGTTGATACAACTCATCCTTTACAATTTCAGCATCCACAAAAGGAAAGTCACTGTTCCCACACTCACAATCCTGTGACTCAGGGGACCAGGCAGCCAAGGTCTACCAGTATTATGAAAGACTGAGGCAAAAAAAAAAAAATGTATTGAATGCCTCCACTTTTTCTTCATCCCTATCAGTCAGATGACCATCTTCAACAAGTACCAGTCCAATGTTTTCTTTAGGCCTCCTCTTGCTATTAACATACTGAAAAGAACCCTTGTTGTTATCTGAAACAACACTAGCCAGTTTCAACTCCAATTGAGCTTTGGCCTTGCATGTCTTCTCCCTGCATAAGTGAACCACAGCTCTGTACTCTTCCTGCAAAGCCTGACCTTCCATAGAACATACAATTTATTATTCCTCTTGAGCTTCACAAGGATTTCTCTGTTCAGCAAAGCTGGTCTTCTGCCCCACTTGCAACAAAAAAAGAAAAACCTGTATTTTTATACAGTAGCTTATAAAAATGTACTTTCCCTCTAGAAAGTTGCTATGATTAAATGTAATTTTCATATATTATAAGCTACATACATACAATGCCTGTATTTTTCCTTTTGAACTGCAAATCTTGGCAGTGAAGTTGCTAGTCTTGAAAACAGCAAAAGGCAATTGTATTCTTCTTTTGGAACTAAAGATTAAATATAAAATCTGCCTTGATATAAACATACATTAAGTACCGAGGGAGCAGGCGGGAATACATTTGAGAATTTAATCTGACATACTAAAAATAACATCAGCATGTGCATACATGCGCTTACAGGATGAATACCTAGTTTCTAGAGTAGAATCTACCTCACTGTTACAAGTTAAATTGTTACTATTTCTTGTGAAAACAATGGGAAGCACACATAGAATGGAAATCTACACATGCTTAACTACTTAGTGAAATTTTATTTCAGCTTTAAAGAATGCAAAATCATGAATAACATCTCCCTGATATCAACATACAGAGATAACATTTGGACAGAAAACCTACAGGATAAAGACTGGCTACAAATTTAGGATTTGATTCTGCAAATATTAAAAAGAGTAGTGCTATGATGTGACTGTCTGGAGTAGTGTAAGCCTATAAGCTATTTTTGAAATAGCTTATACTTACTATATCCATTTAGAATCTATCTACAGCAAAGCACATTCCTATACACATTCAACATAGTCTTCCAAGATCTTAAAACACGCTACCCCCCAACTGAAACCTTCTGAAAAGGTAACATGATTAGCATGTAATGCTTGCAATTACCCTGAACAATCTTGTTGTTACAGAAAGATTGAAGCAGTAGTTTTAGCAATTACCTTATCTAGATGTGCATGTGTTGTCTTTACATGCTCAAGCTTTTTCTGCAAACTGAAAATAAGCAAAGTTAAATGTCACATTTCAGTAGGAGGGACAAAATTATCACTATTTCTAAATTTAAATAACCTCTTCAGTATTGCAGAGCAAAACTAAAATATCAAAGACAGACTGCATACTCAGAATAAGCTTCAACTGTTAATTCAGTTCTCATCTCAAAATAGGTATGTTTAATTATATTGGCTTGCTCTAGTTAATGATTCGTGTTAGAATGCTGGGGTTTTAAAATATAAACACAATTATAATAATGATTTGCAGTATCTTTGGAATTTTATATATTTATACTCCAAGTAGTAAAACACTCTTGCTATTCCTTTGTGTAGGAATAAGAGGCAATCTACATCATTAAAGCAAGAAGTGAAAAATCACTAGAATCTATTTATTAGACACTGACATTTTGAAAATACTTTAGAAAGATTATTTGAAAAGCAAGAAGAAAAAAACGTACAAAGCTGTTGCTTGTAAGAATGAAATCAGTAACACTAAGTGAAATAATGTATCACAGAATTGTAGAATAACAGGTTGGAGAGACCTCAAGGATCATCTGGTCCAACGTTTCTTGGCAAAAGCATGGTCTAGACAAGATGGCCCAGTAACCCATCCTGATGAATCTTAAAAATGTTCAATGTTTGGGAATCTACCACTTCGCTGGGAAGATTATTCCAGTGGCTCATTGCTCTCATTGTGAAAAATTTTCCTCATGTCCAGTTGGAATCTCCCCAGAAGTAACTTGTACTCATTATCCATCTCTTTTCCATTTGACTCCTTGAAAAAAGGGAGTCTCCATCTTCTTTGTAGCCACTGGAACATGGTGACAAGGTCTCTGCTATGCCTTCTCTTCTCAAGGCTGAAAAACAGTTCTCTCAGCCTTTCCTCACATGGCAGGCTTCCTAGTACTTTGATCACTTTTGTGGCCCACCTCTGGACCCTCTCCAGCCTGTCCACATCTTTTTTGTATAGTGGGGACAAAAACTGAACACAGCGTTCCAGGTTTGGCCTGACAAGTGCTGAGGAGAGTGGGATAATGACTTAACTCTGCTGGTGATGCCCTTTTTGATGCAACCCAGCGTCCTGTCGGCTTTCCTTGCCACAGCAGCACACTGTTCACTCATATTGAGCTTGTTGTCCACCAGGACCGCCAGGTCCCTTTCCACAGAGCTGCTCCCCAGCCAGGTAGATCCCAGCCTGGGCTGCACTCCCAGATTACTTTTCCCAGGTGCAAGACCTTACATTTGTCTTTACTGACCTTCATAAGGTTCTTGATAGCCCACTCTTCCATCCTATCAATCCTGTTCTGGTTCATATGTTCTTACTTCTCTCTCTCTCTCTCTGTGGCTCCAGGATGAACTAGCTGATTCACCATAAGAACTCAGGACATGGTTCCTGATCTAATAGTTACCTATTGGCCATAAAGGATATATTTGTATTCCTCTTCCCTTAACTTTCTTTTGGATGCCTATTCTGATACCTCCATGATGCTGTCATTGGTACAGATCTGACTGGTACACTCGAGGAGCTCAAAAGAAACAAACACTGCTTTTCACAGATCAGACAAAAGCCAGTGCTCGCAAAAAGAAAGGGCAGCTGCCCTTTGGATAGTACTGCACCAGTTCATGGGGAATCTCTTAGGTGCATCTCATCTACTAGAGGTTACTAGCTTGCATCTTCTGCAATTTCTTCCTTCTGTGAAAAAGAAAGTGGTCATGTTCTTTTATTGGAAGTGAACAGTGCACGTCCAGGAAAAAAAATGAAGCTGATACTGCCCCAAGTTGCATGTTCCCTCCTTTCCTGTACAACTGCTCCAGTACTTCTTGCTCTCTTCGCTGAAGAATTTCAGCACACAAAGTGAATAGAAAGCCCTTCTCCCCTCACCTCCATTTTTACTTTTCCACTCATCTAGCATGCTGAACTCATATTTGGTTTAAATATATACCCCAAGCAACACAGAACACAGTAACCAGAATTTGCACCAGCTTCATTTGTTGGCAAAACTCAGCCTCTCTCTGTTTTCTATGAAAACTAAGGAGGTCTCCAGTTCTTCATGATGTGAAGTGAGAAAAAACTTGAAATCCTTTATGTTTTAAAAGAACCAGAAAAGAGTGTACAAATCTGCTCTACTACTACTACTACTAAAGTAAAACTTGTATTTTGGGAAAAAAAAGCCAACCAACCATGTACATTGTCTCATTTCACTTTACAAAGTCAAAAAAGCTTTTGTTGCACACATTTCAAGTGGATATCTCAGATTACCACTTATAAAGTGAGAATTTTAAATAAGTGACTGAACTAGAATTTCTAACAGAAGCTCAGATGCAAATATGAGCCAGGATTTGAGTGTCTATTCCATGCATATATTTATACAATGGACATTATTTCTAATAAAAGACAGTGAAATTATCACCATACCTTATTCCAGATAAGCTGTCAAAAGCATGCAGGTCCAAGACATGGGAGAGATCAACTCTAATCAGAAGGAAGAAAGAAAGTTTTTTATTTTTGCTATATTTAAATATTGTGTATACTTGTGTATACTTAAATAATTATTTTTAAATGGTTCTCTGAAGCTTATGTTTGTTTTTCTGTCTATCATTCAAATGCCATCAATCCTTAGCCTTATTTTTAGATGTTGGTGGTTGGTATCATCTCCTACAAGGAAATGCAGTTTTTTTTTACAGGGTAATAGGTAAGCACAGAAACATAATTTTAAAAAAATATAGTAAAATACAAAGTATTTCCAAGAAATATTATAAAATGTCTCATACTGGATGTTTGAATAATAACTGATTTTTTCTAAACGGGAAAAGGAACTCCGAAGTTCTTCCCAGCAATTATTCTGCACCCTTAATATTTACTAATACAGACTCTCAACACACAAACCCCTGGAATATATGTGGCTTCTACTGCTCCACTGTTAGCAAACAGAACTGAAATATGCTATGAGGTAAGTGCTACTATGAAGAATTTCAGCTCTAACATCTGAAACTTAGACAACTAAAAAGTGTCATACAGAACTAACAGCACTGATCATATTTACTTGTAAGAACAGCTACCTATAAACCTGCATAAGAAGCTTTTTTTATAAAAGCAATAGAGACTATAGGTTTCATGGCTAATGGCAATTGTTAATGATATGTGGATGAATACAAGGAACATGAGAGGTTAAAAATACAAAAAAACAACAACAACAAAATCTCTTGAGTGTAGCCAGTATTCTTAAAACTTTTACACTCAACAGTAGTTTTACAGTTTCTAAGATGAAAGGTTTATAATGTAAAATACATAAATAATGCCTCTCTAAAGTTCATGACCAACTCAGTGCTAGTTGTTTCTTCTCAGCAGTGATCTGAAAAATCACACAGAAACACTCAAGAAAGTGTTATAATGGTCCCTTTTACATGCGGGCTTTTGAGGGACAAAACCCCCTAATCAAAGAAGATACATTCTCAAATAACATGTCAATAATTTTATTTATTTTTTTTTTTCTTATTTCACCTTTGGAATGTTTATTCAGAGAGGCAGTACGTGTCATTCACTACAGAATATTTACTAGTAACAGAAGAGTTGTCATTGAGGGCTGCATCTGAGGTCCACTTAATCTAATATCCAAAATTTAATGCTGGCTGGCATAAGACACCAGAGAATGGTACAGATGTGGATACTACATTTCATATATTGGATCTCTTCTTAATGGACATGGACAAGTACTGATTTAACACTCAAAGCATGAAGTTTAATATCCTCTTCAAAATTTCTAGCCACACTGGATACCGCCATCACCTCTACAGAAACTTTTTTTTTCATGTTACAAAAATCTTGGTCTCAAGCTAGCGTGGATTTCCTACGGCAGTCAGAACCATGCACATGCAATTTATCAGCAGTTTAACTTAATCAATAGAGTTCGCTTCTTTTCTCCCTCCAAAGCATTTCACTGACCATTTCTGCATTCTGCCTTGCAACTCAACCAAGGAACTCCTGATCTGCTTTCTCAAAACCACTGTTTGTTCTCAGTAAAATCATCATGTTGCCACTTCTTTGATTTCAGCTGCAAAAATCTATTGCAAATCTTTTTCATATAAGTGTTTTCCTAAGCCCTGATCATCCTTCATTGTTTTCTTCCCCATTCTCTGGCAAAGATAAAATTTCCCATTACTCATAAAAGTTTCAGAATTTTAAAAATTAGTATCATGTTCCCAAATGTCTACTAACCAGGAGGAAATGGAAATGCTACAATTGTATCTCTGCAACTCCATCACTTTGCAGTATTTGTTCTTCATTTGTCTTTCAACCATTCATGCTGCACTCTTAAGTACACACACTACATGAAGAACACACTGCATAGGAGTCATGAAAACTGTAAATAATAGAGAGGTCTTAAAAATAAGATACTCAAATCTGGATATTGTAAAATTAGCCATGAGTAAATATCCAAGATCAAGATTCACCATCAGAATAAAATCTTGGTTAAATTTAACCTGGAGTCGCCAGGACATTCTCACCTCCGCCTACAGATCGAGAAAAATGCCAGCAGCATTATTCTAATACAACTCAACTTTATTAAATACTCACTTATTAATAATGAATTTACAGAATAGGACAAATTTTAAAAAGTCTAAAATTTTGCAGCAGAATCTACAGTGACTATTTACACATTAGAAACTTAACATATCAAAAAAAGCTGTTGAACACTAAAAGCTGATTATCAGAATTGCTCACAAGTTTATCCATATTGGCTGTTTTGAACCGAAGTCCCTAAATGACAATAAATCCATTGAAGAAAATTACTTTTTATGTAATAGAGACACATGCTGGCTTAAGAGAAATGATTTACTGAGGATTACTAGAAGAGTAGTAAATGAATCAGTATGAAACCTCTCAGTAACATAATTTATGATCCCCTCTATAATATTATTTTCATTCTAAGCATTTTTCAAGGGAATTTGCAAGTCAACAAGAAAGGAGCACTAAGTTGTCAAAGCGACTTAAACACTTCACCTTCCTCCTTCAACAATGTAAACAATATGAGAATAATCCTTATAAACAAATGTGATGGTCACTAAAAAGAATGCTTTTCATAGTGCAACTCTTCAACAGCAGGACATAAAACTTCCAGTGATCAGATCACAGACAGAATTTCAAGTAAAGTGAAGTCAATATAAATGTTAACAAAATTAACATTTTTGGAAATGTAAACTGACCTGATCTTTAGATTAAAGTCCAACAAGCACCCATCTTCAAAACCCTGGGTTACCAAATAAAATACATGTTCTACAGTCACTTGTTGATCCTATCTGATCAGCCAACAGCAGCAAATATTTTTCTCTACACTTTCCAACTACATTTGGCAATAAGTTTAAAAAGCTAAGTATACTGTACTAAGATTATGTCTACTATTTTCACTTCAAAAATTACTTAAAAGAGTGTTTCGTTTGTGTGGGGGAGGCCATTTTGGGTAGTGGGGGAAGGGGCTACATTGATGGCCCCTGTGAGAAATTTTGTGAAGCTCCCCTGGCTCCAAGGTGTACCCCAAAGCCCAGGTTGAGCCAATCAGCAATAGGGAAACACCTCTGCAAATCCATATTTATGAGGGGAAGGACTGTCTGGAAAAGAAGAAGGTGGAGAGAACCTGGAGGAGAGGCCATTGACCTGAACAAAAGACAACCATCGGCCTAAACAAAGAGGAGAGCTTTGTTGCTTTGCTTTCAAAGTAATTCTGAGTAACAATTTATCTGCAGCAGCCACCATAAACCAGAAAAATTTTTAAGCTGGCACAACAGAAAAATCCATCACAGTGCACGTGATCAATGATTAGCTCAGATACAAGTCGGTCTTACAAACTGCTGTTTAGTTACAAGATCTGGTAAGAATTTAGAAGAAACTTTTAACGTCCACCTGTAACACTCCCTTAAAAATCTGCTTCATTTTTTAATATGCTGAAGACAATTAAACTACACTTATAGTAGCATTTTTCAGGAACTTTCCAAATGCTATTACTCTATAAATGACAAAATTACTAAAATGCAACTTTAATAAACTTTTTTAAAAGAAGTTATACACTAAAGTGCAGGATGTGAACATTTTTACTTCTTTAAATAAATTCTTTTATCTAAATGCTTATTGGTACAATAAATATTGAGTTAAATATTTCTAATTCAAAAGTTTTCCTTTAACCAAACTGATCTAATAGCATACTAAATCTGTCTCAAAAGAAGCAGGATCTGGCACCTAGTAATAGTGGCCATTTAATACCTTGATCTTTGTGTTGTTAGAATTTTAACAAGTCCATTTATTGACCTAAAATAAAATAGAAAAATCAAAGTTAAATGAAAATGCAACCATAATACATTGCTTGAGCAACTTAACCATAGAGAGCAGCATAAGAAATAGCACCACAACAATAACCTCAACTCTGTTATGAACTTGTTGAACAAACCAACAGATACTCCAACAAGACTTTGTTTTTACGATGTTTTCATAGAATCATAGAATGGTTTGGGTTGGAAGGGACCTTAAAGATCATCTAGTTCCAATCCCCCTGCCGTCAGCAGGGACACCTTCCACTAGACCAGGCTGCTCAAAGCCTCATCCAGACTGGCCTTGAACACTTCCAGGGAGGGGGCATCAACAACTTCCTTGGGCAACCTGTTCCAGTGTCTGACCACCCCCACAGTGAAGAACTTCTTCCTAATATCTAATCTAAACCTGCCCTCTTTCAGTTTAAACCCATTTCCCCTTGTTCTGTCATTAAATGCCCTTATGAAAAGTCCTTCCCCAGCTTTCTTGTAGGCCCCCTTCAGGTACTGGAAGGCCACTATAAGATCTCCCCAGAGCCTTCTCTTTCCAGGCTGAACAGCCCCAACTCTTTTAGCCTATCTTCATACCCTAGTTAAGGGTTGGGGAACTTCACAAGTTCTGACAACAAAATACTACCAGTAAGAATAGCATTTTCCTGTGCCAGACTCCTGGGTCTAAGCATTTCTACTTCTAGAATTCAAACCACTAATACAGTTGTAAATAATTTCAAAATGTCAATGTTTCATTTTGGTTATCACAGAATAATAGAATCCTTTTGATTGGAAAAGACCTCAAATATCATCAAGTCAACCGTAAACCAGGATTACAAGCCTTTGATGATTGTTTTGCTTCAGACCATTGGTTCTTCTACACCCAAGACCATTATTTGGGACTTCTTCCATGCATCTTCATATTCAGTATGAACTCAGTATCTACTAGCAGGTTCTTTTTCCCTGATGCTAATTCAGAAAAATGGAAACAGCTGACCAAAAATATAAGAATGTGGACACTTGAGACAAAGTCGCCAGTAGGTAACATCAGATCTTGCCTAGATAGGCAAACTGCTAAGCTTGTGTAAGCACATAAAAGTACTGAAATAGCTTTAGAATAGGGGCAGTCTTTTTCCCTGCTGAGCTATTTATGCCAGTGTAATCTTGAGATCTAATTTCTGTATTAACAGCAAGAAGGAAGTAACTATGATTAAATAAAAATAACCTTTGAGCCAGTACGGTGTTACACTTATGCCAAAAGTTTCATACCTGACAGATGTTCTAACTTTATTCAATTCTTCCTCTGAAACCAAATCTGTTTTATTGATGATGATAAGATCAGCTAATGCAATCTGCCTACATATTAAGAACAAAAAAACAAACAAAAAAAAGACAACATGAAAAAATACTTTTCCTGTAAGGTAGAAACATCATCTCTCCCATAACTATAAGCGTTGTTGTTAGTACAGAAAGGCAAGCATCAATCAAACTAGAACATCATGGAATATGACTACAGTACAACTGCCTTCTTGAGGTGCTCTTCTGTGCCATGACAGGAATCTGCCAAGCCACAGAAGCTTGCTGGTTTTTGGGCAGGTTTTTTGTATGTTTGTTTGTTTCTAAAAAGAAGTAATCTAATCCACAATCCTTCATAATTTATGAACTTCACAGGGCTCTATTTCTCTTGCACGTACTCTTTGCAAAGTCATACTTAAAATCTCTTTGCTTTATGAAGACTTCTGTTGTTACAATTATCCTTAATCACCGTGTCTCCATAACCAGTAAAAAATACTCCTCTATCTCCAGTTCTACTTCAAGCACCTGGTATTTTCTAGCACGCAGTTCTTTCTTGCCCCCAACACAGGTGTTTTTCCTTCACTTATGTAAAACCTCATCCCTCTTAAAATATGTATTAGAAAAGTCAGATCTTGGCAAAAAGACGAAACAGAGCATGAAGTCACTTTTCTATTTTCTACCTCATTACACCAATCTACCCTGTTTAAAAGCAAAGGAAGAGAGAAAAGCCTTATAGAAAAAAAGAATCCATAAGCACAGTTCTTAATTGTGGTATATAAAATTAATTTACACATCCATACCGAGATGCTTCATTGACAAGGTCTTCTGGCTTTTCCTCTGTCAAGTGCTAGACAAAAATTAAAACAATTGGATTAAGCATATTAAAATATTTAAATTCATTTGCAGTTAAAGGAAGTCAAAAACAATTCAGCTGAGTTATATTTTTCAACAAGGTATTGAGAAACGTTGCATCTAGAATTTTTCTATAAAATGATGGTGACAAAGTACTTTTATATATTTACCATTTCAGAAGCTTATAATTTATTTTATGAAAACATATATTTTTTAATGAATTTTATTACTACAATGCTAAAGGATTGGAAAACTGTATTATAGTATTTATTTTTAATTACTTTTCAGATTTATTATGAATTTTAAAAATTACCATGACATATAGCAATTATTGAAAAATGTACCCAAAAAAATGGAAGTACAGTAATTTTTCTCATGAGTGTGATGTTGACTAACTGTTAAAGATGAGTTGGGTTTGCAGTACAGGATTTCATATACATAACTGCATACTGCTTTTCTCTGAAAGATCTGACAAATTGTACTTTTACAATAAAAATTCTTAACTCTTTTTCTGGGTTTGTATGAATAAACCACTACTACTTGGCAAGTCTGCCCAACATCAGTGCTTGCAGACTACTCAGGCTGTAACTAGGCAGAAGAGTCAGTCAGCCTTGACTGAAGCAGCAGCTTCTGGTCATGCTGCAGGACTTTAGTATCTCAATCATCTGCAGCTTTGTGCTCCACCTGTTTGCCCAAACTAATGTCCTTGCAGAAGAGTGAGTGAAAGGGATAAAAAAAAGTGCCCACATCTCAAGCATCCGTGTGAAGTTTAGCAACATAAAGCCTTACTTTCCTCAATAATTTAGGCAGAACAACAGACTTTACACTGAAGCAGCAAAGGTCCAGCTACAAGTTATTTTCTGCCCACTCTGCCACAGAGGCAGCAGTCTCCAGGAGAGAAGCATCACAGGTACCTGGAGGCAGCAAAACTTTAAATTGGTGCTGTAATATTACTAAGAGCTCCTCTTATACCTTACACCTCTGGGAAGATTAGAGAGTCCTGTGCATTTCTTCATCAGTCCTAATGTACCAGGAATATTATTTTAAAATTTGGTTTTAAAGACACAAGAATACCAAATGAAGTGGAATTGTCATGGGAAATTTTCATGGGGCAGAGTGGGGAGGAATAAAAAAAATCCCCATTTCCTGATTGTGCACAACCTAAGCAGAGCATAACAGGATGACTGGGAGGGAACCTCTCCTCTGACCTTTTCTTTGTAATCCTCCGTGTATTGATTCTATTGAATTAAGTGTTATCAGATTTGTTGCCCTGAAAAGGACAATGCCAGTAGCACAGATGTCAAGTCCTGAAAGTAGAGCACTGTCACTTCAAGCTGACAGCTGTTTGCCTGTGATTAAAAAAAAATGAGTATTTCAGATTGCTGGGTGACAAATCCATCAGAGTGGTAAGGGATGATATCAATTACCACTTCAGTTTCTATTTGGCTGACTGGTCACAGGTACTATGTGTCAGCTTTTCTTGTGATGGGTTGGTTCTTTGAAGCATGACACCCTTAAATTGCTGCCTATTATCTCAAGCCTTTATAGCTTTCAGAATTCTTTGAATCGCAAGCAGATGTTGAGGTCAAGCTTTTCAACCAGAGAAATTGCACAAGCTAGCAAGTCCTTTATACAAAGAAGAAGTTATTTACTTGGTATATAACTGAGAAAGTCTGAAGTTTCTATTATCCTGAGTGGATGTCAGTGTTGTACAGGTTTACTGAATGTAAGAGTTTTCTGCGAGCTGTCAAAGATAAAAATGGATAGAAAAGCTGAATGCTTCAAAGCATTTTTGTGTTGCTTCTGACATATTACTTGAAAGTTTAAATAATAAAAATTTTATTTTTAAAACAGTAATAATTCAGTGCTGCTATGTGCAACAAATTTATATTTGTTTCGAGCCAATAAATCAGCACTGCATAAAGAGAAAGATAAACAGAACAATATTTTTGCAATTAATAAAACACATCTGAATTAGCATGAAGGCACTCAGCTGAAAAGGGGGTTGACTTAAGACATGATGTGTTTTCTTGTGATAGTTAAGCTGATTTAAAAGTCGGTTCCTGCTTAAAAGTGCAAACCAGCCCTCAGCCCCTTCCCTTCATTCTTCTCCCAGCTCCTCTGCAACACCTCTGGCAAAACACGATGGCTTAACTCGCCAAACTGGCTTGCTATGGGGTTAATTAGTTCCGTCCTGCTGCAGTACAAATTGACGGGAGGACAGGGCTGCCCCCTTTTGGTACATCAGCTGTTAGATCAGCTCAACTGAAAACAGAAACCCAAACAGTCCAAACAAAATGAAGTCTTAAAACAGGGGGATCATTTCCTTATTTTTTAACCATTATTCTTCAGTTTCCTCTGATTTTTGCAGCTATTGTGTATTAAAAATACTTTCACAGCGTGATGGGATTTTTAGATCATGGAGGCATCTTTTCTTATGGTCACTTTTATTTTGAATCCTGCAAAATCAATACCTAATCAAAGTAGTCACTTCCTAAATCACTGCATTGCAAATAATTATTTTTATGACTAGCTATTAAAAAAGTGTTGATCTATTTGATTTAATCACAATTTCTGCTGTTATCCAACTTCACTGTTCTACAGGTCTGTTCTTACACAACAGTTTACATAGATCACTCTTAATACATGCTCTTTTTGCCTGCTTCCATGTAATGAAGTAATCTTTTAATCTGAAATGGTGCCTAGACACCTGGCACTCTCTTCTCTTGTCACCACAGTTGCCATTACATTAGCACCTTTCCTGATTTGAGCCCTAACTCACTTGTTACCACACTGCTGTCAAATGTCTGTTCTTATTGCTCTCCTTCCAAGTAACATGGACCTATGACACTCTGTAAGACAAATTTCTCCACTGTTTTACAGTAATGCTAATACCTCTTTGGAATGCAACCAAGATTCCCAAGTGAAGTGACAGAACTAATAGGCATCAGGTAATCAGCAACCTGACAACTCTTAGTAGACTTGCCGCTGTGTTGGTAAGAATCTGAATTCCTATGAATATCAGTACTTCCTTGTTCCCATTCAAAATATACTACTAATGTACCACAGCAACTGAAATACATCCTTATCCATTGTAAGAATTAAAGCAATTGTAAAAATATAATTAACCCAAATGAACATTATTGCAATAGCTGTGCTAATGTTGCAGTTTTAAATCAAGTAACAAATCCAGTAACTTGCCTGCAATCCATGCTTTGCGTCAACAACTGATACAATACCTAAAAGAGAACATTAAAATAGAATACAAATGTGCTGGAGGCAGCTAACACTTTAACAACTTGAACTCTTCCTGTACAATTACTGAAGTAACAGTATCATCACATTTACAACTGTTTATAACACTTTCAATGCTTCCAGTATATCTGAACATTAGACTTGTCATGTAATTAGTTTCTTACTGTAACTCGTATCTGTGGTAAAAAAATGTCTACCAAACCAGGTGAGAGAAATTCTCACAAGGTGGATGCCTTTCCTCCTTCTTCCACAACAGCGAATTGGCAGAGGTATGCTTTCACAGCTTACCAAAACAAATTAAGGAGACTGACTGAGGTACACAGTTATTCTGATTGCACATGACCAGGAATCTGCAATTCTCTGTCAGCAACTTAGGAAGCTGTTTCCTATTCAACTGAATGTTTCCTTGGCTAGATGAGTATTTACAGACTGACCAAAGTGTTAGTAGGATTTTTATTTTTTTTAAACAAAAAAGTAGGGTTTATTCCCTACATTTAAAAAAAAACCCAAACAAACAACATTCAACATGCTCTTTAACTACATATAGTGATGATCTATGTTACAGTAAACTCAGATTTTTAATGGAACACAGCAAATACTAAAGCTAAGAAGAGTACAATAGGCATAGAAGCCAGAAAACAAAAAGCAATAGAGTCCAGATGTTGACAAGAGTTGAGAAAAAAAGGAAACAATTTAGGAAACACTGCATTGGGGGAAAAAAAAAATAAAAAATGAGAACTGTAATATTACCACTAAGTAATGTTTCATAATATCTGCCTAATGACCTTTTTTCCCCCCCATTTAAACCACAATCAAGATCTCTCCATATCTGATTCCTTAGCAAAACATTACACAACTTCTGTTGGATTTAGCAACCTGAAACAACCCACCAAGCAGATAAACAAACATCAGAATAAGCAAGTGGATCTCTGTGGTCAAGTCTGGGGATGTGAGAACCACTATCAAGTATTGAAAACATTCTGTGAAACCTTTACTTAAATGATAAGGATACATTACACTAAATCCAGATACAGAATGCCAATACATTGGAAAACAAGCTTGCACTTCTTACCATCAAGATAGATGTCACTTCCCAGTTCAGAATCAACCCAGAACATGGAGGCCACAGCTCCTAAGAAGTGAAATACATTCAGTTGCCAAATTGACATTTTCCATCAATATTCAAACATTTCATAGGAAAACTCTCTTTGCAGTGCTGTACTCAAAACTCCACTCTTCCAAACTCAGGAAGTATCACAGATATCAAATACCCAACCACACATTTGATCTAACAACAGTGACCAAAGCATTTTACTTGTGTGCATGTCAACGGTTATGACTGCAAAAAGATTTTAAACTCTTACAATTCCAGATGCATGGAAGTTGTCTAAATTACTTTTACTCAGTAATATAAATTATCCGTCATTACTATACTCCAAGGCTCCCTCATTTCTAAAAAAACCTCCCTCTCTTGACCTTTCAGAGACTGTTTCTAGGTCATGTCACACACATACACACAAAAAAGGAGATAAAAAAGAAGATAAAACAGTTAAAGAAAAATGGAATTGGCGCATTCGGGAGAAATCAGCTCCTTCCCAGGGACTTTTTCCAGTGGTTTCTATAAACTCTCCCATGCAGTTTCTTACCTGAAGATGAAGACAGTCAAGAAAAAATAGATATAGAAAATAATGTTTTCCTCAGTTATCTTGTGTCTGCACACTAAAGCTTCTGGCTTTAGATAATTTTGGGGTAGATCAAGTTAAGAAATATCTAATGCAGGTTCAATGTGCAAAAAGAAACTGTAGTGAGAGGAAGTTTACAAGGGTAAATCATGTCTGATCAATCTGTGAAGGCTATACCTGGCCTTCTGTGGAAAAAATACTGTATCTGTGGACAAGGCAAGAGCACTGTATGCCATTTACATAATCTCTAGAAATTTTTTCAACACTGTCTTTGAAGATATTCTATTAACCAAGTTGGGACATTACCAGTCTGAATGGAAAGAGAACTAGGTAAAACTGGTTAGACTGTTAAGCTCTAAAGGTTGCAGTTAATGAAGCTGGTAATAAGCCAGATACTGCAGGCGTCTATCCTAGGACCTGTCCTGTTCAACATCTCTACCAGGAGCCCATGAGTGGATGGATGGAAGACATGACTGTCAAGTTTGCAGAAAACACCAAATTCAGAAAGGAACAGTTGATATACCTAAGGTCACAGCTAACTTTCAGAGGGACCTGGCCAGGCAGAAAGGAATGGCCAACAAGAATCTGATGAAATTCAGCAAGGAAAAAGGTTGAGTAACACACTTAAGAACAAAGAGCACCTGGCAATGATACAGGATAGGGACAGATTGGCTGGGGAGCAGGTCTACAGAGAAGTCTCTAGGGGTCCTGGCAGGCAGCAAGCCGAGCAAGCAGTGTGCCCTCAGATCAGTGAAGGCCAAAAGCATCCAGGCTGTTAAAAGAGATGTAGGGCTGAGGGAGGTTATTCTCCTCTATTTACCACTTTCAAGCCCACATCTGGCTAGTATTTCCCATACAGGAAAGACATCAATAAACTGCACTGAGTTCTGCATAGGATCATCAAGACAGTTGAGGCCAGAGCACAGGTCCTACAAAGAGAGGTGGGGGAACTGGGTTCATTCAGCCTTGAGAAGGGATAGCTTCTGGAGAACCTAACAGCAGCCTCCCTGGTACCTACAGGTGAGTCACTGAGAAGACTGAGGGAGGCTGTGGTAGAAGGATGAGAGACAACTGTAGTAAACTGAAGTAAGAGAGGTTAAGACCACATGTATCAGAAAAATGTTCTTTCACCATGGAAAGGCAGGCATAGAACAGGTTACCTGGAGAGCTTGTGACATGTTTATCCTCAGAGGACAGAGATATATGACTGTATCTCAAACAACCTGGTCTTGTCTTATTAGCTGACCCTGGTTTGGGCAGGATGTTGGACCAAAGACCTCCTAACATCCCTTACAAACTGAATTATTCTATGATTATATGATCCTAGTATTTTCTACATGTTAGGCCTCAACATCCACTGAATTTCCATCCAGATGAGGTGCTTCTGGAAAAATGAAAAGTGTAGCACTCTCCCTTCTTTGTACAGTCATTTGTATTTCTTCAGCATGTAAAATGGAACATACTAAACTGATAAGTGCTAGCAAAAAGAGTCTGTAAGGATTTTGACAACTGGGACCATATCCTATCAACAGCTGGAATCTGTGACCCGATTCCTCTGTACGACACATGGCTTAGGAGTACACTACTCCTGTTTTCTGCTAAAATGGCCCTGTAAAGCAGATTCTAGCAACAGGATGTGCTGTATGTTTATTTTTAAAAAGCCCGTGATTGTTATGAAACAAAACAACATATATCAGTGCCACAATATGAAGGACAGGAGGAGCTGACAGTAATGACAGTCCTTGGTTTTTTTCTATTATCAGATCCTTACTTACTGTCAGTCTGTCTAAGATTATTAAGCACACCAGACAAAAAAAAAATCAGTAACCAAACTGATTCTAACACCTAAAACTGTCCACCTGAAGTTATAAGATGTAGTCCTCCCAGCTTCACTCTATCAACACCAAACACCTGTCAGTTTTTCACAGTGCTTACTCATGCAAGATACAGCAAGGGCCACATCTAATGGTTTGCTGGTATCTATCAATTTTTTATTTTTTCCAAAAAGCATAACAGTTTTCCAGTTTGACTCAAATAGAATCTGTGTGTAACAGAGGTCAAATCAACGTCCTTTCTTTTGATGAAAATTACTTTACCATTACAACTACTATTTAGCTTTGAGCTGGAAAGAGTCAGTCTCCTAAATGGGAACCAAGTGAATTTCTGATAAGAACTCCTTCACTCTCAATCAATAATACATTTTTAATTGACATGGTTCAGAGAAAATTGTTTTAGATAGCTATTACTAACAGAAGCTCAAGTTTAAATACCTTTTATAATAAATATCATTAAAGAGACACAAGGAATTTTAAAGATCTATTATCGCTCTGTACCAGAAAAATGTTTGAGTCTGTTTCGCAGTATATTTTACGACTTCACAAAATACAGGGCCTATTACAGCCAGTGTAACAATACTTCAGATGCTAACAGTTTATACTGTAGAAGGAGCAATGCAGAACAGCAAAAGTCTACTGAAAACTACTAATATATTTTAACTGGATTTCTGTTAAGCTTTAGAGTCAATTCAGAGCAAATTCAAAAAAAACAAAACACCCAAGAAAACAACCCCACCCATAACACTGCTCCTGTACCTTATCCAATTCAGTTTTGGTTTATGCAGCAATCAAAGCACGTACCTGAGAAGTCACCATTTCATAGTACATTTTGCACAGTGAAGTGACTGGTGAGCAAATAAGCACTTCATAAAAACAGAGTAATTACCATGTTTATGAAAACCATAATGTGAACTACCTGGATCTGCCAAACCAGTTGTTTCTAACAATATATAGTCAAATTTCCCCCTCCTTTGCATCAGGTTCTCAATAGCCTTCACACCATTATCCCTGTAAAAAGAAACAATTAAACCTGAGAACAGAGAAAACAGGCTAAAACATGCATAAACATGTACCTTCTCATGCAGAACACAGTGTCAGTACAATCAAAGCAAACGCCTGAGTCAGGACTTAACAGCCTACAATGAAAATTCAGTCATCAAGCTGCTGCTCTATATTAGCCAAATTGTAGTTTTCTTTCATGTTAGTCTGAAAATAATACTTGCTACTCCCAACAGGCATAATAAAGGTGATTTAAATGACGATTTGTTTACTGGAAGCCCTGTAAAGGACAGCAGGGCTGCATAAATATGTAACTATTTGGTTTGGCAGCTGAGATTACAAAAAGAAAAGAGCTGTGTGGAGGAGGAGGATAGAGGAACTGAACCATGTTGTCCTGGCTTTCCACCTCACCTACAGCAAAATTAAGATGTGTCATTTACTTAAATCTCAGTTGAAGTCAGCCCAAAGCAGAAATGTATGGCATTTGATATAAGAAACCAAGGTATATAAAACACAGCAGAAATGGCAGCATTCCATATATAGCAGTAGAACACAATGCAATAAGGTCTTCCATTTTCCACTTACTATCTGAATTTAAGGATTAGGACAGGTTCTTCCAAATTTTCAGGACAAACAGGCCATCACCTTTATTACAAACCTAGCACAAACAACCCAGCATTCAAACAAACAAACAAACAAAGAAACAAACGTACTCCTGCTTTTTTTTTTTTTTTAACCTGACCATCAGCTTACAATTTGGAACATCGTGTTTCACTAGGTGACCAAAAGGTTCTCCCTCCAGCATTTCTGAGGTATACAATATTCAAGTATTAACTGGCATACAGAGAAAGAAACACAGAGTAACTAATGTGGAAGTTAGGAAACCCGAGTCCTAGTTCCAGCCTCCCTGAATCTTTAGCTCTCTATATAAAAACATATAATACTAGCAGAAGAGGGAGAGCCCCCTACCCTACAGTACCACAGTGGTATGTAAGTTGCTATTTAGATTATTTTGCTGAAAGACACCAAGTTCACATCCAGTGAGGCAGCAAAAAGAAATAAATTTTTGTCTTCCAAATTCCAATGCTTGTTTTATCTGACAAAAGAAGTCTCAATCAATACCACCATCAGTTTTCGGAATCAAATCCTGGATATCTTCTCCTTTCTTTAATTCTCCCAAAACCCACTATAAGAAATTGTACAATAGTCCTTCCTTACTTCACTGAGCAGCACAGGCAGCCATTTCTGAGCTCCAGCCATTCTTCATAGAGCTCTCCGCCCTGACTGATTGCCAGGGATTTCTCCAAGGCACTTCCTGGAAATATAAGTAGTACTGTAATTTTATTCTACAAATTTGCATGACAATGCCTGCAAGAGATACAAAAGATTGATTCAAGTTGCTATATATTTTTACTCTTGGATTATATTTTTTTTCTTCTAAGACCATGTTTCTGACATGTTCTTTAGAAATTAGTATTTTCCATTTTATGAGAATTTAAAACCCAAAGTCAGGCTGGTTCTACAAAGAACAAAATCCAGAGTATGAAAGTACAGTGTAAGTGCCACAAACTTTGCTAAAAGAAAGGGAAGCCAGTCTCTACCTCTATATTAAATAAAGGCTCTGTCTATACATTTTACTTTAGGCTCCATGACCAGAAGAGCGGCATGCATCCTAGTTGATGAAAACAAACAAACAAACAAAAACCCCACCACCAACACAGTGCAAACTGTAAGTGACGCTGACTATGGTACGAATATGAAATTAGAGCCATAACAGTTAAAAATCCTGAGAAGGAAAGCAAAGAGTTCCAAGAACCACAGACACCAAGAACAGGTCTCCCTACTTTCTTGGTCTAGGATAATCTGTGATCTGTAAGTTGCTGAGGGAAAAGGAAAGAGAAGAAGATATTATCTAACAACATGTTATTTTTATTTCCATTTGCTTGAAACTGAGTGGGAGAAATGGAGGTAGAGCACTTCCCACAGGGCAATATATTAATCTACTTGACTCTGAGGGGCTGAATTTATGACCAAAACAGACAAATGCACAGCATTATTTTATGAACACCAGCCGAAAGACTTTTTGCCCTTCTGAAGACTATGATGTGTGTCAATAATTTCAATAATGCATTCAAAATTACAGTGTTCTAGATTTACAGAAATTGTACATATCTGTCATTTCACAGCTAAAAAAAATTCTCTGCAGGTTTACATACCTTCTCCAAACTCATTCAGAATAACTGCTATTCTTTTATTATGCTGTTCTGTCAGTATGTAATTTAGAAGAGTTGTTTTCCCAGCTCCTAGAACACAGACCATATTTCTATTAAAAGGTTAAAAAAGCTTAAATTTTCAAATAAAAAGCAAATGTGCACAGGGACACTTCAAACAAATCTGATCTCTTCTGAAATACAAGTTTTCATTCGTGTATCCTGCATTATATTGTAACACTGCAAAAATTAATTTGCAGAGATATTTGACCCCATGGAACTACCAGCAAATTAAATCTCAGCTTTAAAAGACCATTCACTAAGTGTCAGTGCTTAATAAACTTACAAGTCTCTTATCAGCTGGGCAGTCCTTTCCCAGAGAACTCATTTTATGATTCTCTTAACCAAGGGCACACTTAATTCTTCTTCCTCCCAATGCTTTTTCTGACATCAGTAATCACTGATGTACTACTAAGTACCATTAGATGAGATATTGTTAAGCGAGGTGTTTGCAACTTCCGTAATACCACATTACTAACAGTTGCATCCCATGCAGGAGATCACAACTAGGGCAATTTGGTAGAGCAATCTCCCTTCCCTGCCCTTAAGAGTTTTCTGTGAGAGCATGATGCAACAAACTTACAAGTTTTAGAACAGTGCTGGCGATCCTAAATTTAACCAGCTCTTCACCGTATAGAAATATATCTGAAGGTCCCAATAACCGTGTTGATTTAAGAAAGGGAAGCCAAACCTCACATTCGTAAGATTGCAAATCTGTCTGCATTTAACTGAGGCAAACACATGACACTATTCTGACACCAAGCGGCTAAAGCCAATTTGTCTAACATGACAAATCGGACCCTGAAAGCAGGCCGGCAAAAGCAGCAGCAGCAGGAGCCTACACAGCTGTAGAAAATCGTTCTGAAAATCGAACAGGAACCGCGGTCACCAGGAGCGGCGTGAGGGCACCGCGCTGGAAAGGCGGAGCAGAGCGGAGGGAGC